GCCGCAGGAGAGGCAAGCGGGGGCTGGGCAGGGCAGGGCCGGGTCCCCGCGGGCGGGAGCGGGGCGGGACGGGCGGCCGCGGGGTCCGGGAGTGGGGGCCACCAGCGTGAGGGTGGGGGGGGTCGACGGGTCTTTGTGCCCCACGGCGGGCGGCCCGGGGCCGCTTTCCCCCGCTGCCCCGCCGGGCATGGCCCCGCCGTGGGCGGCCGGAGGGCCCCTGAGCCCAGGGGGAAAGCTCGGCGAGTCCTCTCCCAGGACCGGCGCCGGTGCCCGCAGCCCTGCTGGTGGCTCCGGCCGTCCCAGCGCTCGGCAAGCCGTCGGCCTCTCCCGACCGGAGAGGAGCGGGAGCGGGGCCTTTGCCGGCGGGGAAGGGGGCAGGTGCCCCTGTCCGGGGAGAGCGTTCTGCGGGGAGGACCGGCGGGGCGGGGGGCCCGGGCAGGCGGCTGCTGGGGTCGGGGGGGTGGGGGGGTCGCAGCGTCGGAGCGGGAACGTGCCCCGCAGAGCCGCGGGGACAGCAGCCCCTTGTGCGGAGGGAAGGGCTGGAGGAGCAAGTTGTCCGGCTAAGGCAGCTGCGGGAGGGAGCTGGAGACCAGCTGCTGGAGGTGGAGGATTGAAACGACTTCGCTGCCTGCAGCACTGACGGGCTTGCAGAGCTCTGGAGGCTCCTGGCAGAGCGGGGCTGGGTGGGTCCGGAGCCCGCATTGCCCTGGGACGAGAGGGCAGGGTGGGCAGACAGGCTGAGGAACGGGCACACAGCAGGATGCGTGGGTAGCAGTGAGTGGCAGTGCTGTGGTCTTTCAGCATCTTGGTGCTTCCAGCGCTGAGATCTGCTCAGCCTGGGTGAGGCATCTGGGGCGTTTGGGAGTGCAGGGGGTGGATTTGCAGTCCTGCCCGTGGTCTGATCTCCAGGGGCGACTGAAACCATCCTTTGGAGATGCCCACCGGGATCCTGCTGCCTTGTACTGTCCTGGGGAGTGGAACAAGTCCAGTCGTGGATCAGGTTGCCCAGAGAGGTTGCACAGTCTTCGTCCTTGGAGGTTTTCAAGACCCAGCTGGCATAAAGCCCTTAACCACAGTGCTGACCCTGATTTGGGTGGGAAGGTGGACGGGAGACCTCTTGAGGTCCCTTTCCACCTGCATTATTCCATGATCATGGTGACCCCCATGGGAACTGGCTGCAGAGGAAGGGGAGCCCAGCTCCCCACAGCCAGGCACGGGAGGAGAGGCAGCTGCAGAACAAGCTCAGGAGCAGCCCCAGTGTTGCAGCACTGTGGCCATGCCATGGCTCCTCTGCAGCCATTGCCTCTGTCAGGCCTGTCCCCACGGTCACAGCTCTCTCAAGGACTGCAGAGCTGAGCCCTATTGCCTGGTTCTCCCAGGAGTGCATGTGGGCGATGGGCCCCCATGCGATGGAGCTCCTGATTTCACTTGGCACATCCCTGTGGTTCATAACTCCTCTTTCCAGAAAATCTCCCCCAGTTTGCGTGGCTCGGACCCCAGACACTCAGATGTGCTCTGACCCTGCCAGGCAAGGAGCCTGCTGGGCCCTGGGGATGCTATGATAGCTTCTCGTGCAGCCCAGTCACACCTCTGCTCCCAGGGGAGCTCAGCCATCTCATGCTGTCAGGTTTCCCTCTGCTTGGGTTGTTTTCCCGCAGCTTCTGTCTCCAGTGTCCCAGTGTTGTGCAGACTGGGGACATGCAGGGCTTTGTGTCCTTCTTGGGGAGAAAGGCCCTTGGTTACCCTGCTCGGGGACTTGTTTGGCCACACCGTGGTTTGGCCCATCTCCAGGGATGGCTGATGTGCAGCTGTGTGTGTGCTGGGGGCAGCAGCCCTCCTCTGGCTCAGCGGTACCTTGTACTCGTCCTCTCTGATGCCTAGGTCTATGGCCTGGATGTGGTCCCCATCTACAGGACTCGTTCTGCCTTCTCTGTGGCTCTATTAGTAGACCTCTGTGATGTGTCCAAGCGACTCTGGCTGTGTGAGCTGCTGCTGCTGCTGAGCCTCTTCACAAATAGTTTTTGTTTATTTGCAGGTCCTTGAGGGAGTCAAATGTGTTGGACTTTGTGGCAGTCCCAGGGGAGCGATGGGCATGCTGTGTCGTCAGCAATGATTCCCCCCTGACAGGTATCTCGGGGCCAGAGGATGGGGCCGCTTAGATCCCTGCTGGTGCTTCTTTGCTTGTGTTGCGCAGCCCTGGCCATTTAGTCAAGGTGTCGGAGTGCCGGTGCAGGAGCTGTGCAGGCCTGGGGTGTCTCCTCGCCGGCTGGCCCTGCTGATCGGACAGCTGATGTCCATGGTGTCGGCGCAGCCTTTGTTGCTGCTCAGGCACTGGCTCCCGCTGTTCTGCCAGGTGGAGTTCGCAGTGACGGCATCAGTCATGCAAGGCAGTGGTCCCACTGCCCTCCCCCATGTTTGAGCACGTTCCTTCCTGCTCTCCTCCTGCAGTACCTCCCACCCTCTAACAACCATTTAAGTCCAATCTCAGCCCGGTTTCCACAAGCTCTTCAGTTGCTACCTCACTCGAAAGTGCTTTATCACCCGGGGTGGCACAGTGCAGCACCTTACTTGTTCCCAGCAGAGCAGATGTAATTGGACTCCTTGGTCTCACCTGAGCTGTCACTAATACCTGCCTCTTCCTGTGCCAGTGCTTCTGCTCTTCTAGCTGTTGTCAAACCAGAAAGCCAGCAGAGGCTGTTAGAGGTGGAGGCATGCAGCGATGCTGTGGAGGTGTAAAGCATAGGGTGCAACTTTTTGGGGTATAGATAAGGAAAGAGCAAGGAGAACAGTGGAGGGACTGGCCCTGCTGTCAGGAGGGATTATGGTGTGGCCTCAGACTCATGAGCTCTAAGGGAACACTGACAGATTTGCCTCCTCTCTCCCGTAATCACCTGGCTCCTGGTCACTTAATTAACTGGCTCTTGGGTCCCTTGGCTTGGTTGGTTGTCTCTTCTACAAACTCAGCAGCAGCTTGGGCGATGCAGGTTTTAGTGCAGCACTTGGGATGTGGGGAAGCACTCTTCAGAAGTGACCGCTCCCCATGGGGCTTCAGGTCCTGCTGCCTTGGGTTGCAGGGTGCATGGGGGAGCTCTCTCCTCCTGGGACAATTCAGGATACAACCTTTGTGGAGGAAGCACTTTCTCTGTGGCAGTGAGATGTTCCCTGCCGTCCTGTGAGCTAACCCTGAGGAGGAGTAGTGAGTGATGGTGGTTTTGATTTGCCCTGAGTTTTTCCCTGGGCTCCCTCCAAATAGCTGGCAGGGTGGCAGGCCCGTTGGCAGCATGGTAGTGGGGTCTCATGGGTGTCAAGGGTCTGTTCCCATGCGTGGGGCCCAGAGCTCGCTCTCACGTGCGATTCCTTCACAGGCTGAGCGGCGCCGACTGCAGATGGAGATGGTTCAGCTGTTGCCTGTGGAGAGGATGCCGGCTCTGAGGCCCAGGTAGGAGCCTGGCCATGGGGGCTGTGCTGGGGCTGGCACCTCCCTGCTGCCCTCCCTAGCCTGCCAGCAGCTGGCTGCCGCCCCAACGGGCCACCATGGAGCGGCCCACACGGGTGCCCAGGCCCCTCCGCCTCCTGGCCTTCTTTGGGCAGAAGCCGCAGGCTGTTGGAAGGGAGACATCACCAGAACTGGAGCCAGAGCTGGAGGAACCTAAGGAGATGAGCATCACGCTGCCCCTGGGCGAGGGCGGGGAGCTGGTGGAGTGTCCCCTGTGCCTGCTGCCCCAGCCTCCTGAGGCCTTTCCCACCCTGGCCTCCTGTGACCACCGCTCGTGCTGGACCTGTCTGGAGCAGTACCTCCACATTGCTGTCAGTGAGAGCCGCGTGCAGGTGGCCTGCCCGCACTGCCCTGCTGCGCTCCAGCCCGCTGACGTCCACCGCCTCCTGGCCGAGCCCGCTCTCCGTGACAAGTACGAGGAGTTCCTCCTGCGACGGCTGCTGGTGGCCGACCCCGGCACCCGCTGGTGCCCGGCGCCCGACTGCAGGTGACCGTCCAGCCCTTCGTGCAGAGCCGGGAGCAGGGGGGTGGTGTGGGTCCCCTCTTCCTGCACCAGTGGAGGCGATGGGCTTCCCCACCAGGGAGCTGGTGTGCAGCAGACTGTGCCTGTGTCCTGTGAGCCTTTTCCAGGCTCAGTCCCCTCGGGACTTGGTCTTGTGTGGGGTTGTACCTGCTCAGAGAGATCTCCTGATCCCTGTACCAGCTGCAGAGCCTGGGCAGCTGTGTGTCTCTGCCAGGGCTGGTGCTCTCGGCCGTGCTGGGCCAGTCCGCGAGGCCCCAGGGGAACTGTGGGTGCTGGATGGGGAAGGCTGTGCTGCAGTCTGAGCTGGTGAGAGTGTCTCCTGGCTCTCCTGAGGAGGGGCTGCAGCTCTGCTCAGCCTGGAGCTGGGACCTGCCACTGCATGGCCTGGCCATGCCCGGGAGGAGAACAGCTGTGTGCTGTGCAGGGATGCAGGGAGGGCTGTGGGCACCGCTGGCCCCCCCCAACACTGACCGCCTTCTCTCCACAGCTATGCTGTCATCGCCTATGGCTGTGCCGAGTGTCCCCGCCTCACCTGCGGGCGTGAAGGCTGTGGCACCGAGTTCTGCTACCACTGCCGGCAGCCCTGGCACCCCGACGGCCCTTGTGTACCAGTGCCACCCGCCCCCAGCCTGGCCAGCCCTGCAGCACAGCTAGTCCACCTGGAGGACTTGGCCCACGGTGAGACCCTGGCCCAGGGTGGGAGCAAGCAGGGCAGGGTTTTGGCACAGCCGAGCAGCACAGTCAGATGCCTTTTTGTACTTTCCTGCCTGTGGGGATGCTGGAGTCAGGACCCAGTGGTCCCCACTGGCTGCCTCGGTGTGGAGGCATGTAGCCCCTGTGCTGGTCGAGCTGGGGGGTGTGGAGAGGGACCCTGCTGTGCCTGGCTAACCCTGACACCCATGGGACAGGCTGCAATACTGGGACAGGGTGTGGGGGTGGACCTGCACTGTCCTGTCTTGCTCCCACCCATCCCATCTCATCTCCTTCCCCCCATCAGCTGAGGCTGAGGACATCAAGGTCTGTCCCCGCTGCAGTGCCTTCATCATGAAGATCAATGATGGGAGCTGCAACCACATGAACTGCACGGTCTGTGGCTGTCTCTTCTGCTGGCTCTGCCTGCAGGAGATCTCCGATGTGCACTTCCTCAGGTCAGCGCAGGGCTGTGGGGACACGGGGTGTGCGGGGGGGCTGGAGCGGAGGGGCTGCCAGGAGCTGAGGGGGGATTGCAGGAGCTGCCCCTGGGCTGAGCTGGGGGTGCTGTGATGCTGGGCTGGGGCTGGGGCCAGGAGCTGTGGGGCTAGGATGGGGGGCAGCAAGGCCCTGCTGAGAGCCATGGCCATGCGCAGCCAGGTTTGGGGCTGGCTGGGCCGTGGGGCTGATTGGGGTGGGAGCAGAGTGGTCTGTGCTGCTGGGTCTGGCAGGGCTGAGGGCTTGGGCCTGCCTGTCGGCACCCCACAGGTGGGATCCCAGGTGGCAGCTGGAGCTCGGGATTGGGATGGGGCAATCTGGCTTTCTGCTTCCCCAGTGGGCCCATGGGTCTCCCCCCAGCGCGAGGATGGGCTGTGCTGGTGTCTGCCTGCCCCTGCGCAGGAACCATTGGCCCAGCCCTGCTCTGTCCTCGCAGCCCCTCTGGCTGCACCTTCTCGGGGAAGAGGCCTTGGTCACGGACCCGGAAGATCCTGTGGCAGCTGGGCATGGTGCTGGGGGCGCCTATGGTGACCTCCCTCGTCGCGGGCATCGCTGTCCCTGTCATTACCATTGGGATCCCCATCTACATGGGTAGGAAGGTACTGGCAGGGGGCCCCGGAGTCCCCATGGTCCCACTCCCTGCTGAGCCTGGCAGCCCATGGCGTCAGGCCTGGACAGACATGCAGTGCTCCCCGCTGCCCACCGCGTGTCCCTGTGCCACCCCTGACTCCCCACAGCCCCTCCTTGTGGGGACCCTCTCTGCTGCCCACCCCAGCACTCTCCGCCAGTGAGGGAGGTCTCGGCCTGGAGAGGTGGGGGCTTGGGGTGGGCAAAGGAGGAAGGGGTCTGGGGGTCCAGGGGTGTTTTCCAGGGACACCTGAGCTGTGGTGGCAGCACTGTCATGGCTGCCTGTACCTGAGGAGATGGAGGGGGTGTCTGGGCAGCTGTGGCTGCAGCTAGAGCTCTGCCAGGGCTGGGAAGAGGCCCCGTCCCTGCAGGCTGTGCGCCGAGATCTCTGCAAAGCCCTTCACCTGTCTTGCTTCTCCTCGAGGTGCTGGGCCAGAGACGGAGGAGCAGCCTGTCGGGGTGCCAGCAGTGCCTCTCTGTCACCAGCAGTGTCCTCCTCTCTCTCTTTGTGTCCCCCATCATAACAGCTGTCACCGTGGGTAAGTGTGCCGGGCCAGGGCTGAGGACACTGCCCACGTGCTGGAGAGAGTGGAGCTTGGGCCTGGGGGCCACTGCAGCGGAGTCTCTGGGGGGGGATGTCTGAGACCTGGGGCACTGGGGCTTTGCCCAGGGGGCTGCCGGTGCAGGTCAGGCAATAGCTGCCTGTCTGCCCGCAGGAGTCGGTGTGCCCCTGATGCTCACCTACGTCTACGGGGTGGTGGTGCTGTCGCTGTGTCGGAGCCGCTGGGGGTGCGGGGGCAGCCGCAGTCCGCCCGGGGATCTCAGCGTGGTGGAGCTGGAGAACCTGACCAAGTGTGAGTCCTGCGCTGCTGTCTGTCTGCTGGCCTGTGCCCTTCGTTGGGCTGCACGGGCCCTGTTCCTGCCTCACATCTCTGTGGCTGTGACATCTCCAGAGCCAGGGGCTCCCTGTGGACCCGTGTCGGTTTTGCCCCGGTGGTGCCACACACACCTCTGTCCCTGCGGGGAGGCTGCAGGCTGGCATCCTGGGACCAGCTTGTTTGCACACCCTGCCATGTGCCTGGTAGCCCATTCTGCTCCCTGCTCTGACGGGGAGCGGTCCTTGCAAACAGGGTACTTAGCACCATCTCTCTCTCCACCAGTGAATGAGCTGTGGTCGGTGCTGCCCAGCCCCAGGCCAGGTGAGGATGGAGTCCTGGACACAACCACCTTCCCCAGCGGCAGCCATAGCCCGCGCCGTGGGGCAGCGTGGAAGGAGCATGACAGCCAATCAGCCAGCATGGTGGCCCTCGTGGGGAGCATGCTGAGCGAGGGTCAGGACATGTCCTACAGGTGAGCTGGGACTGCTCTGCAGGGGAGGCAGAGCGGTCTGGCGCATCCCCTTCCTAACAGCCTTCCCCACGCCCGTTGTACCGGGAAGGGATGTGGTGATGTCCCCCTTTGGGCTGCTGCCCTCAGGCCCTGCGTTTGTCTGCAGGGAAGGCATCAACATCGAGGTGGAAGTGTCGATCGAAGCAGTGCCGCATCCTGCCCAGGAGCAGAGCCTGTGCAGTGCGCTGTCAGGGCAGAGTCTCTCTGGGGACTCCCTGGGAGGCACCAGTGACAGGTGCAGCACCATGGGTGTCCCTGCAGAGTGAGGGGGACTGAGCAGCACTGAGCGGTGAGACCCTCGATCCACAGAGCCCCCACCTGGGCTCCCACCTGCCACTGACACAAAGATCCCATGCTCTCCTGTGGCAGAGCTGGTCACCCTCTGTGGGGCACCACCTGCCCCATGAACTGGGTCCTGGCCATCCCCCAGGCTGGGCGGGCCCTGACTGCGCTTAGTGCTGCCTGCAGCCTGCGCCCAGCCCCATCCACCCCTTTCCCGAAGGCAGTCTTCGGCATTGGCACCGCTGGGAAATAAAACTACTCTCTGAGGGTCTGTCTGTCTCCTGCGGCACAGCCACCCCCCCAACGGTACAGCCCCCATCACAGCAGGCTCTGATCCATGCTGTGTTTCCCCCCCCCCGCAATGGTTACTGCAGGAGGCCAAGCAGGTGGGGTACAAGTAGGGCCAAGGAGCAGGGCAAGAGTGGGGATATTCCCTTGTGCAAACACCCCAGAAAACTGAGCACTGCAGGTGCAGGACCAGCACAGCACATGGCTGGGAGGGTGGGATGTTGCTGCAGAGCCTCAGCCAGCACCAGCAAACCGAGCAGCTTGGGTAGGGGCTGAGCCTTGCCCCAGCTGGGCCAGCCCCTGGTGCACAGTGTGTGGCACCCATGGGTCCTGCATGCCCCCATCTACTTTCCTGGGGGCAGCAAGTGGCTTCCAGCAGATAGACCTTGAGTGTGGTGCAGGACAGCTGCAGCTGGGGCCCAGAGCAGCCCCTGAGGGTGGGAGGCTGTGCACTGTGCCAGGAAGAGCTGGGGAGCACACAGGTCTCACTATGATGACCTGTGTCTGTATATCTGCGTCCCTGTCTGCCCAACCCTGGCTGCTCCAGCAGTGTGTGAAGGGGTCCCAGGGCTGTCAGAGAGAAGGGCTGTGCCCTGGGCAAGCTATGGGTGATGTTTTAGCATGTGGGGTGCTGCAGGACAGGGACCCGCCTGGATCCTTCTTGTGATGGGCACCCAGTCCAAAGCAGGAGAGAAAACTCTGCCGAAGATCTGGTAGTGTCTCCCAGCTGGAGGAGGCACCAGCAGCGAGGCTGCCTGCAGCACCCAGACTCCCACTGCTGCTCCCCTCCCCAGTAGCACTGGGATTACCAGGCCCCACACAGCCCTGCACTCCTGGGGGCCAGGTTAGTCACCACCATAGATAGCTGTGGTACGCCATGTCCTGCGTCGGCTTCCCTCCATGCCCTGTGGGATGCTGGCATGGGCTGCAGGGCACCCATTTCTATGCGTGGACAAGGACAAGGCAGTGGTGGCCAACCTAGTGCCTCCATGCATGGAGGGGGTTGTGGCCTCCCACCCTGCCTGTGGGCAATGAGGCTGCCCCTGATGAATGCCTTGGACAGGCCGCAGCGTTGGGGTGGGGGCAGCTGCCCCTGTGCCCAAGCTTCTGGGGCCAAGCAGCTCGAAGTTGTGGGTGCTGATCCCCACCAGGAATCCATCCTGCAGCCAGGCCAGCATGGAGGCACCATGTAGTAGTGCCACAAGCTGTGGGTGGGGACCCTGAGCCAGACAGGGTGTGCAGCCTCAGGCAAGTGGGATCCTGCCTATGACCAGTCTGACTCCACTGCAGCATCCTTGGGAGAAAAAGCTGCTTCTGAACATTTAGCTGCTTAATGTTTAGCAGAGTCTAGCAGCACCTTGCACAGTTGTGGGGACTTGTACTGATTGGGGTGGGTAGGTGCTGCCTACACCATCACCCTTCCCCAGCCATGCATGGTCAAACGATGCTCCACACTGGTGTGAGGCACTGACCCCAGCACATGATGGGTGCACCTGCCATGGCACCTGTCTCTCACCCAGAAATCATCAGGTCCCTTCCCTGGTCCCATAGCTGAAAGCCAGAGCCAACCAGGACTCCTGTGGTCCCATAGCCACCTCCTTGCCCCCTGCTCCCATGCTCTCGCACCCAGAGCTGCCCTTAGAGACCCACTCACTCCTTTGCTCCCAAGCCCCATCGCCTACTGCACAGCTGGTACAGCTGCCCTTTGCTAGTGCTCATATGTGCATGCATTGCTGGCACCACAGACACTCCCCCACCTCCTCTGCACTCACACGGAGGAAAGTAAATAGTTGAAGGTGGGGGTTTGATACGGTGACAGGACAGACTGTGATGATCAGGCACAGGGCATGGCCAAGACTCAGGTACTGCCTAGTCTCTGCTTACATGCAAATAAACCCTTTTATTCCTTTATCCCTTTATTTCCCACAGTTGTTCCTCCCCAAATCTCCTAAATCCCTCCCTTTTCCCACCTTTGGTTCCTCCCCTGAACATCCTGTAATAAATCCTGCACTATCCCCAAATGCTCTTTCCCTGCATCCCATAATGTGTCCTGCACCCCTAGGCAGCCACCCTTCTGTGCTTGCAAGGTGATGCAGAGAGCTCCCGATGAGGCATGGTGATGGGTTTCACGCCTGGACCACAGGGCTGATGGCTCTCCTGGGACAGCCCTGGGAGGGGCCTGGATGGGTGTCTGTGATTTGGGTCCCCGCACCTGCTCTTGTACCTCTGTCCTTCTGGCTTTTTAGACATTGGCCTTTGAGGGGCTGGTGCTTCCCTTCTGATGGGCCTGGGAGTAGCTGAGTCAGGTTATTAATCAAATTACTCCTCCTGCCCTTGTTTCTTTGTGCCTCCTTTGTGTCTGCAGCTGAGCTTATCACATCACATAACAGCCTGGGCTTCCCAGTGCCTTCAGTAACCAACTCTCAGACCTCTGGTCTCTCCAGGATCTATCCCAGGCTACACCAAAACCTGGCTCCCAAACCTCTTTGCCTGCTCATCATCAAGTCCAGCTTGATACTCGCTGGCGAGTACATATTGAGGTACACATCCCTCCCCAGCGCACTGGTCTCTCCCTTTGCTGACGCTCCAACCCACACACCCCCGCATGCAGCAGAAAGAGCCCACACACCCAGGAAAACATCTAGAAAAGAAGATCACTTTGTGGTGATCCCCCCCCCTTTTTTTAAAACACACAACTGGCCCCTTTTATGTCCTTTTCCCATGCTCATTCCTCCCCCTGCCGCCCCCAGTCCCCCCCTCCCTGCAAACAGCCCCTAGCAGTCCCATCTGCACCCAGATCCACAGCGAGTCACAAGCCCTGTGGGCAGGAGCCCCTGTTGCTGCCAGGGGTGTCACCCACTGACCCCCGTGGATCCCAGGCAGCCCTAGGTCTGAGCTGGCTCCCAAAGAGGTCACCAGGACCCCCAGCTCCTTGGCTCCTTTGCATTTGTGGAGATGAGCTGTCCTCACATAACCTGCTGGGCAGGCTTAGCAAAACTCCTGATTCTATTCTTTCAACAGCTTCAGTAGGTTAATGAAAATACCTGTAGGTATAAGGGCCTTTGATAAGGCACATGACATACCCACAAAGCATTCCAATTAAAAACTAGCATGATAAAACATCAATAGAGTACATGGTAAATGGTCTAAACCCAGTTACACCTCGGTACAAATTACTAATGTGGGATCACCACTAATGAGAGCTATTTTAGCAGACTCCACAGAGACTGGTACTAACTCCTGTATCAAAAACTTTAATTGCCAAGAAGAAAGTTTAAAACCAAACCCTCTTGAAACTGATGCCTCGCAGCAGGAAAAAGACAGCAGGCACATGACAATTCAGACAAAGTGTTTTTAACCCCACCTAGTGAAACTGCCTCTCAGAGCACTGCAGCTCCAGGCGTTCCATCCAGGACAGGGATTTAACCCTTCTGCACAAATAACAAATGCTTTTAGGACTAGAGAAAATAATTCTGCTCATTCCTGTGACAATTCAGTCTGTTTATTCAAAATTTGGGGGCAACTTGGCCAGCACATTCGTAGCAGGGAGGAAACATCAAGTACTGAGCTGCCCCTTAGCCAGAGTGATCCTGAGACAAACCCATCTGGCAGTGAATGAAAGATGCCCTGAGAAGAAACTCACTTTTGCAAAGGAAAAAACCTCCTTGGGAAGGAAAATCTCCTGCTCAGGGAGCAAGGGAACACATCAGCTCATCCAGAAAGTTTATGTGCACAGAAACAGTCAGCCTGAGCAGCAAGTCTGACTACAGTGCCTGTGGGTGTTTGTGGCTCTGAACTCCCAACCCCAGCCTGCATGATTCAGGGACCAAAACAGTTCAGGTCTGGACACATCATCACTGGAGAGCCACTAGACAGAGGGGCTTAAGCTCAGGGCCACCAGGGAAGAGGCTCAAAGATGACACGAGATGCACCCATCCAGGCTGGCAAGGCATGGGCTGACTGAACTGCACAAGCCGAGACAACGGGCCAGGACCAGGAAGGTGGACTACATCTTTGAAGAGGGAAGACTTGCAGCGCAAGGCATTGTTGGGGCACTCTGCCATGAAACAGGAACCCCAGAGCAGCTGGATGAAGTTGTGCCAGGTGACCTGGCCTGCAAACCTCATCAGCGCTTCCCTGTGCTCCCCACCATGCCAGGTGGAAGGTGAAGGGGCACAGCAGCAGGGAGTAGCAACTGAGCTTTCCATCAGTGGTTTATAGCCCAGGAACTTCACTCCTGCAGGAGCAGCTGCAGTATCGACACACATTCTACAAGCTTTACATCATCCAGCACACCAGACAGGAGCTGCCTCTTGCCCCACCTTGAAGAGAGCACGCAGCTAGATGGGGTGCAGCACGCTGCGGGCAAGTTAGCTCAGGAGGGTGACTGGTACCCTTGTCCTTCAGCAGGCATAAACTGTCTCCAGAGACTTGTTTCCTGCTCTATGTGCAACAGATTGTCCTCAGTTAAGCCACCTCCAGGTAATGGAGAGGCAGCAGGCCCAAGCACTGCAGCAGGGGCTGGTGCTCTGCAACCACGTGGCAGAAGCGAGCTGCTTCTCATGAGCTGCAGACGCATCCCCCACAGTGCCCTGAGACACCAGACATTCTCCTCCCCATCCCACCTTGCTCACCCCCCACCACCTCCAGGAAATAACCAAGGACCAAAAGCACAGCTACATTTTCCGGGCTTTTAGTTTGAAAAAAGTATTGATTGAAAGTGTACAACAGAACGAGGTGTGGCAGCAGCACTACCGCCAGATTGTTTCACAAATAAAAACAGAAAGGGCCTTAAATAATCGGGTGCAGATTAAAAAAACCTCAACAGTGAAAAAGTTCTTCCCTCCGAACAGAAATTCACAGGCACAGAAATGGCAACAACCACACGGAGACAATGGGGGGACATCCTTCTTCTAACCACAGGGCTCTGCGCTCACAGGCTGCCAGCTGTGGCAGGCTCCTGCGCTGTGGCTGGTGGCTGCTCCCGCGCGCGGCTCTGCCCTCGGCTCCCTCTTTGGAATGGTTACAGATGAACAGTGCGACATGCCCTTGCTAACCAGACCCGCCCCCCACCCCCCCAACCAGGACACAGACAAACAAGGCCTCTGCTAAGGCTAAAAAAAGGACAAGACCTTGGAGTCTTGAGTTCAGCATGTTTAAGAAACAAGAGTCTGGTGAGTGCACAGCAAAGTCCCTGTGCAAGGCCTGCTATTCCAGCTTGGCCTTCTTGTTGTTATCACCGCCATTCTCTTCTGCTGGTGCTGCCGGTGCTGCCATGTCCTCCAGTTTCCGCTTCCCACTTTCAGCAGGTGGGTGTGTATTACGGGGTTTGAAACTGATAATGATGCAGGTCATGTTATCGCAGCCAGTGCCATCCCCTGAGGTGTCTGGAGCCAAACACTGATCCAGCAGCTGAGGAGGGATGGGACAGGACAGGTTAGCAGAGAGCACAGACATGGCACTGTGAATAACCTGAGACACTGGGCCCATTCTACAACTGACAGCAGCTTAGGGGCTGCCAGGCCAGAACGCCGCAGGCTGGGCTCAAATGCTGTTTGCAACCAGACAAGGGACAGAAACAGCCTCAACAGCCCTGGTTTTCTGAAAGTGGACAGAAACTCCTTTGGCTTGACAGCAGCCTAGAGGTCAGAAACACTGGTAAGGGTGCCAAAGGAACTGAGTCACAATTCAGAGGCGTCTCTGCTCCTGTTCCAGCCAGCGTTGCAGCCCGTATGCTGCCAGATACCCCAAGTGCTGAACAAACAAACCAGTGTGATGGAGAGGGAGGGCAGAGTCAGGCACCAAACTGGGATGCAGAAACACTGTGTGCGGAAGGGATGGTGAAGGTCTGGACCTTACCTCTTCTACAATGGAGGAGAGCGGCCTCAGGACTCCATTCTCATCCTTTTGGGTGATCTTGGACTGGATGAAATCCACCACTTCCTGGCTGCTCATCACATTCCTGCATAGAGTGGAGCAGTCAGAAGGGCAAGTGGAGGGAGCAGCCATACCATAGTGTCTGATTAGCACCCAGGGCCCTTGGGCCTTCCCGAGGCCCAGCTCCACAGAAAGACTGGAGTGGTGATGCCCAAGAGACACAATTGCTCCCTCACTACTCACCAGATTCCATCACAGGCAATGACCATGAAATCGTGGTCATCATTTATTGTCAGCACTTTGATGTCGGGCAAGGCAGAGATCATCTGTTCTTCTGGAGGCAGATTCTTGTTTCGCTTGTAGAAGTGATCACCTGTAGTGGAGAGGAAGATCACTTTTCCTGTGGGTGGGCCCTGGCAGTGCTGCCTACCCCTGAACAGTGAGAAACACTGCCCTGCCAAAGAGCAAGCCCAGCAGAATCGGAGCCAGTGCTCCCACAACCAGAGCTGATCAGGCTGTGAGCGCATCAGACAGAAAAATCTGCCACATGTTCAAGGCATCAGCTTTGGCGAGCCCAACACACTGTTGCCATACAATGGGAAACAGGTGCCTTTTGCCAGTTCAGCATCTCTTCACCCCAAACCAAGTGCCACCTCCCCAATTCCTGGGGCAACACCAGTCCAACAGCACACAGCACCTGACAACACCAGCTGAGATCCTGCAGCAATGCTCATGAAAGAAGCTATCCCATGTCTTGGAGCAGGATTTGCAGCTCACCCCAGCACTAGCTTGGCTTTGCTGTGATAACACTAGATGCTCACTTTCCAGAAGCTCAGGCTATCCAGGGCCAGATATTTCAGTGCAATGCCCACATCACACTGCTGGATTCAGGTCTTCCCAAACCCTCAGTAGCCAAAGCTCACTTGAGAAAACTGATTATCAGCTTTGACTGGCATCTGGACTTACATCCTAGGAAGGCACTTCTAGGGCCACTGCAAAATAGTTGGTGGAAATGCTAGTGTCTCCCGAGATAAACAAACTCCTGGTTTCTATCCTACATGTGTTTTTATCTCTTTACACTAGGATAATAATTTCAATGGTTTGGGTCCTTCTGCACAAGTACTCTCCACTCACACCGCTGCTGCTATTTTCTTCCTTTCTCTGTGTATTTCCCAGTACAATCTCAGCGTTATTCACTACCTGGAAGCATGGATGTCCTGGGCACAGCATTCTGAGGCCAGGCATGCCAACATTCACCCCTGTCTTGCTCACCGATTGCTCTGGAGAGGTTGAGACCGCCATTCACTCTCCCATCCATGGTGACCTTGCCGCCAGCATTCTTTATCCTGGCCAGCTCCACCTCATCCTCTGGCTTGTGGTCATATGACATGTCGACAGCTTTGCCACCTTCTGACACCACGCACCGAGAGTCTCCAGCATTAGCCACAATCAGCTGCTTGCCCCGGATAAGCGCCACAACAGCAGTTGTTCCACTGTCAGAGCCAGGCTGCAAGAGACAAATGATTATGCTGAGACTCCATTCTCTTGCTCTGTATTGGGTCAGTAAGGGAACCAGCACTAGCTACCACAAGCCCAGCAGTGTCCCAAACCCTGAGGTGCTGTGTCTCACCCCTTCTTCCCATAAG